CATGGAGTAGTGTCAGGTTTGATGTTGATGGTAAGTGACTGACCACCACAAGACTGTTGGCTGAAAAACGGCGATACCGAAACTAGTTAATGTGAAGACTGATTCCAAAGTATAACCGCCGAATGACTGTACTACCGTTTTGGAGGCAAGCACTTTTCTGTTAAACATCATAATCATTACATACAATTTTTTGATACATCACGGCGCGCTATTTATCCAGCAAATAAGCAGATAACAAAATGATTGTTCCCTTGTCACTTGGAATCGATTTCCAAAGGATTATAAGTAATTTGGCTTTCTCGATCGATATTTTGCGAAGCAAGTTTAAGGAGCCAGGTTGTACCAAACACTTCATTCCACATGAATTAAACAAACAACTATGAAATGGCAGGCGTCAGACTGACAACAATTCGAAGGGTAAATATTAGTAACTAATACTTTTAAATTCATTTGAATATTGTTTGAGGATATGATAAAAACCAAACTATTTGATAATCGCACCAGGATAACGTGGACTTGTCGAATATCACGACACAAGCCAAACATTTTGTCATTGTGAATAACTGTATGAAAGTTAGAGGTCACTTCAGTGTGATGTGACAGTAGTGGTTTACGGAATATGCCATTCGATTGCTCGCCTGAATCATTAGCTTTGCAATTAGCTATCACAGGATATGTAATTGAGGGTGAGATAAAATTAACAAAACTGATGGGAAAATGTTGACGACAACGATGGGCATGTAACAATGAAAACTACATAAGTCGATTCAATACCGCTAAAATTATAGCAACAGATTTTGTGATTGTCCTGGACAAAAACCACAACCAAATGAATTAAGAAGTATAAACACATTATTGCCAACCACATTACGTATTGGTTCCGCAAATGAGTGCAACAGTTAAAACCAAAAAGTCGATAAACACAACACCCAGCATACAAGGAATGCATGACTCATCTGAGTAGATAACTCAAGTTTCTTCTGACTGCTATCCACCTCCTCCATCATTACCTTCTAATCTTCCTTCACGTCTCTTAATTAATGATGCTGCATCATCTTCAATTTCTCCTACCTCTGCAGCCTTCGACAACGATCTGAGTCCACAGAACAGCATCCCTGGTCTCCTTAAACCACGCTCCAAATTACATATTGGAGCCTTCAATGTCCGCACCCTCCGTCAAATTGGCCAACAGGCTTCGTTGGCAAAGACTCTAGCAACTCGGGCATGGATGTGTGCTGTGTTTGTGAGACACGCATACAGGACCCAAGTGTGGTTATTCACCTGACCTCTCCTGACCAATCTGGTGAATCTGCAAAATTCACCCTTCGAGTTTCTGGAGATTCGATAGCTAGCTCTCGTGGTCTTGCAGGTGTAGGTATAGCATTAAGCACCAGGGCAGAAAACTCACTACTAGACTGGATCCCAGTTGATAGTCGCCTCTGCGCTATGAGGCTGAACGGCACAGTGAGAACTAAAAGGAATAGTGAGACTCGCCGTTGTCTCTTTGTAATCTCTGCTTACGCACCCACTGACTGTAGTTCGGATGAAGTGAAGGACGAGTTCTACCATAAACTGTCTAACCTCCTCTCGAAAGCCAAACGTTCGGACGTAGTGGTTGTTGCAGGTGACCTCAACGCACAGGTGGGTAGACTGAGTGAGGCAGAAAGGCACTTAGGTGGCACTTTCGGAATCCCAGCTGAACGTACAGATAACGGTGATCGCCTATTACAACTATGCTCAGATAACCGCCTATTTTTAGCCAGCACAAATTTCAGACATAAAGAAAGGCACTGTCTGACCTGGCGTCCACCGAGCTCGACTCAGCGATGGACACAGATAGACCACATTGCTATTAGTCATCGCTGGAGAGGATCGGTGGAAGACTGCCGCTCCTTCTGGAGTACGTGTTTGGACAGCGATCATGCGTTGGTCCGAGCACGTATATGCCTGCGTCTCAATGGACGTAGAAAAAATTTGGCAACAAAACCACTACGAGTTCTGCTGGACAACGAAAACACCAAAGCCGTGTTCAGTGAGAAGTTGGCTAGGCAGTTATCGGAACAAAAGACTGTCACTCATCCAGAAGAAGCTTGGTGCCATCTTCAGTCTACTGTAAAAGCAGCACTGGAGACTGTAGCCGACTCCAAGATAATGGCTAAAAAGAGCCAGTGGATATCAGCAGCTTCTTCCAAACTAATGGATGCACGTGAATGCATCCCTGCAGGCTCTGAGTACAATGAAGAGCGAGCGCAACTTAAAAATAAACTGACGAAAAGTCTGCGCAACGATCGTGAACAGTGGTGGGCAGCAAAGGCTAAAGAGATGGAAAAGGCAGCGGCGATCGGTAACAGTAGACAGTTATTTAGACTTATTAAGGAGACTGGGGGGAAATGGTCAACAACAGTTAGTGAGGTTATAGCGGAGAAGGACGGATCTGCGATTCACTCGCAGGGAAGGCGACTGGGACGATGGGCAGAACACTTTGAGGAACAGTTTAACTGGCCTCCAGCCACCATTGCGCTGCCCGCTATCCAGTCGGACCCTGAATGGGACATAGAGACAGGTCCCCCCACTAGAAGAAGTTGAGAAAGCGGTAGGTAGCCTGAAACGGGAAGGGCAGCAGGACCAGACGGACTACCTGCTGAGGTATACAAGAATGGTGGTAGAGTTCTCTTAGTCAGGCTAACGGAAGTGTTAGCCAGTATATGGGAATCAAATAAGTCACTCATCATCCCAGTCTTCAAGAAAGGCGAGAAGTCCTCTTGTGATAACCACAGAGGAATCAGCCTGACAAACATAGTGTCTAAGATCCTAAGTTCTATAATTCTCCGACGCCTGAGTGGAGCTCGGGAACAGCAAGCCCGAGAAAACCAGGCAGGCTTTAGACCTGGCCGTGGATGTATCGACCAAATATTCACACTGCGCCAGGTCCTGGAACATAGGCATGCTTACAGACGCCCGACAATAGCTGTATTTCTCGACCTGAAGGCGGCATTTGACTCCGTTGATCGAGAAGTCTTATGGCAGTGTCTGTCACTGAAAGGCGTGCCTAGTAAGTACATCACCTTATTGAAAGCTCTCTACTCGAACACTTGTGGGCATGTTAGAGCCTATGGTGAGTTGTCCAGGGAGCTATACTCATCAAGTGGTGTCCGTCAAGGATGCCCACTATCCCCATTCTTATTTAATTTTATCATAGATATTCTTATGGAGGTTTCCCTCTCGTCACCTAATTACAAAGACGTTGACCGGACCACAGGTGAATTTTCCTTAGATCTAGAATATGCAGATGACATAGTCCTGTTAGGTGAAGACGCTGACAAGATGCAGAGTCTTCTGAACACTTTGAGTGGGAATTTGAGAATGTTTGGGATGCGATTTTCACCACCCAAATGCAAATTTTTGCTCCAGGACTGGTCTTCAGCGGTACCGCGGTTAACAATAGAGAGTGAAGTGGTTGAGTGTGTTGACCACTTCACTTACCTGGGAAGTAGGATCAACTCCGGTGGGTTAGTTGCCGATGAGATTTCTGCACGGATACAAAAGGCTCGATTGGCTTTTGCCAATTTGCGCCACCTATGGCGCCGCCGTGATATTCGTTTGTCTATTAAGGGTCGCGTGTACTGCACAGCAGTCCGCTCTGTTCTACTGTATGGCTGTGAAACATGGCCATTGAAAGTGGAAGACATGAGAAGGTTACAGGTATTTGACCACCGTTGCCTTCGTAGTATAGGACGTATTCCGTGGTGTCACCATGTGAGTAATGCAGAAGTTAGGTGTAGAGTTTTAGGGAGAAGAGGTAAGTCAGTCGACGAGGTTGTGAACCTTCATCGACTGAGATGGTTGGGACACGTACTACGTATGCCTAGTCACCGATTGCCTCGTCACACAATGTTGGCTGAGGTGGGTTCAGGCTGGAAAAAGGCCCGAGGTGGCCAGACTAAAACATGGCACCAATGTATGAAGTCTCTGACTGTTGGTTTAAGCCATGTAGGACGATGCAGACTAGGTGGTTGGGGTCCACGGGACAAGAGGAACCAGTGGTTGGAGACCCTAGGTGATATGGCTCAGAACCGAAGTCAGTGGCCACACATTATCCTCATCTTAACAACGCTATACCGAATCTCACCATTTTGTCACTCCTCTTTCCTTTCTTCTCACTTTATATTTCTTTTGACTGCATTCACTTATCTTCATCCTTCACCTCACTACCTTTCTACTTGATGAACTGACGTTGGGGTCCACGGGACAAGAAGAACCAGTGGTTGGAGACCCTAGGTGATATGTCTCAGAACCGAAGTCAGTGGCGCAGATGCATACACACATTATCCTCATCTTAACAACGCTATACCGAATCTCACTATTTTGTCACTCCTCTTTCTTTTCTTTTCGTACTTTATATTTCTTTTGACTGCATTCACTTATCTTCATCCTTCACCTCACTACCTTTATACTTGATGTGCTGATATGAGGTGTGGCAATTCGGACCGTTACGCAGTAATGCCTGGTCCTATGTTGATAATGATGATGATGATGAGATAACGGAATAAGTGGAATTTTTACGTACTTTCGGTAAGCCCGGTGTATTTAGTGTTCCTCATCATCGATAGGTACTACCAGTATCATTGCAGGTTATAAAGTTCATTAAAAATCCTGAGACTACAGTTATTTGACGTAATCGAAAGTGGCTCTAATAGCCCAGTGATCATGTCGTTGACTGAAAAACTGGGTGCAGCAGATTCGAATACCTCAGGAGACGCGGTTTATCTTAAGGTTACAGATGTGTCTTCCTGAGTGCCAACAGGTATGAAAACGAAAGCAATTATCGAAAGCACTTTCACAAAAATATTAAACCCCGCTGTTTGCCACACTTTCAATCATATGACTAATTCTCCTTTTCAATGCACAAACTGAAAGACATGTGGTACAGTTAACTTAGCATGCAGTGTTCTTAGTGAAACGAATGGACAGAAAGGAGACAAAATACAAATACAACTCACCTCATCAATACGATCTGACCAACCCATCCTTTCAATACCCGCTTTTGCTAATATAATGGCATCATAACGAACAGGTGAACTATCAATAGAGCATTTTTGGATTTGCGTAACCTGTAAACCGTCAAGCTTCGCCAGCCTTGTGTTCAGATTACCACGTATAGATACAAACTTCAACTGGGGAAATTTGCGCGAGAGGGTAGCAATACGCCGTACAGCACTTGTCCCGACTGTGGAACCTGCAGGAAGATCATGCAGTTTCATGCCACGGTTATGTGGTGCCATTAAGACGACATCTTCTGGAGAAGCTCTACCGAAAACACAACCTAAAACCAAGCCATCAGGTAAGGCTGACGGAACATCCTTCAGCGAATGAACAACGAAATCAACCTCTTTGTCAATCAACGCTTTTTCAAGCTCCTTCGTGAACAAACTTTTGTCACCGATTTTAGACAGTTCAACACCAAGAATCTTGTCTCCCACTGTTGACATTTCAACAACTTCGAAGTCAATATTTAGATTTTGTTTATTAAGTGAATCAATTGCCATTTTAGTCTGTAGGAGTGCCAAAGTACTACGCCTTGATCCGACTCGTACGACAGTCCTTTGAGGAGCATCAAGCATGGTAGACGAATCACGATTAGCCAAGGTCGAATTTGGAAAACGACGCAAGGTCAACAAATAGTTTATGCAGTTGATAAGGTTTAAGAGTAGCAGGTCACATGACCTTCTAAATCCATGTAAATTTTGGTATTTTAGGTATTCAGTATTGCTTTTTAAGTGGGTTTAAAATAATTTGCACTGGAAGAAAATTCCACCTGCTCACTGGGCAGGTGTGGGGAGTTGACTTCCAAGCTTTGATGGTTCAGTTTTCAGCTAAAAAATATTTCTGTTGGCTGGACGTAACTCCCGTAGTAATTATCTCAAGAATGTCCCGTTTTCCACACATAGATGACTTTAGGCTGTCGATTTCTAAGAGGGATGACAATGTAACACATACGGTGACTGAAGTTCAGTTGGTCTTACAATGGCATGGCGCTCCCGCCGTGCCGCAACATTTGGTGGTAAGCTCTTACTAAAGGTCGGATTCACTAAACTATTTCATCGTCACTAGCGCTGACCGCTCAAGTTAACCTGGTGGTCTTTCTCTTGCTTATAACTAGAGTACCAGCCGGTGTGTCTACGCTCTTGCAAGGGGTATTTCCCTTCGGTGTTACCGACATTTGGATGTTGTTATCACAGTGTTTCGCAGGCAACTATATCTACGGATTTTTATGTTCATCAACCACAACCAGTTGCACACCTAAATTGTGGCTAGTTATTTTAAAACCTAAGCGGCGACGTTAATGGCAGAGTTACGATACTGTTTTAGGATTTGTCCTGGTGCGAACTTGACAGACGCAAAGACCAATCACTAATTATTCGGACTTGTTATATACCCACGAATACGAGACCAAGAAAGAACACGATAGCGTAGTCGGATGGAATAGTATGTTTGGATGGTTGTGCCAAGATACCGATGCGTTCCATCTAACTGGCTAGGGTCGAATACGAGCAGTGCAACGTAACACGACAGCGTGCCAAATGGCGAGGATGCTTGACCGGGTGCCTTCAGCTTGACGAGCCCAGTTAAACCATCAAGGTCAGCATCAATGTTGAAAGTCGTCAAACCGGAAGTAAAAACCCAGTGGTTTCTCCACTGGTAAAACTCTTCCGATGGGCTCACTGCGTGAGGTGGCCCCTGGTTGTCTGAACTTATTCTAGGGTGTCGTGGCAACTAAGTAAATAAAATACAGTGAATCGAATTAGACGTCGATCGCAGTCATTAGTTCCTTTTGACGTTCCGTCCAGTGCTCGTTGCACCTGGAATATAAATAAAAGTCTTTAATACCACGGAAACGTTTTGTAAGAATGGGAATTATTTACATATAAACATATCGAAAAATAAAAATTTACGCTTATCTTCGCCGTTTTTTTTGTTTCATTATATGGTAATAAAAATTGATATAAAAAGGCAGAATGTACGAGGGTTGTGCATTGCCGGTCAATAAGAAAAATAGTGCCTCGAGAAAAAAGTATGGTTGGCACACACACAGCTAAGTTGAATATGACTTCAGGTACTCCGGGAACCTGGCGGATCGACCTGATCGTGTCTGTTGTTGCGCCGATGGTTGTTGCAACTGTGCATTACCAGGCACATCGTCAAGAATTTCGATAATTGACTAATCCGTCGGTCGGATATGGCCAGCTGAAACGTCACTTATGATGGTGTTGCCCTCGAAATAAGCTGGTTTCAAACGGTCGATACTGACGTTATCTTCACGTCCGTATCGCTCAATTACATAGAATTTCTCGTGTCGCTTAATCACTTTGAACGGCCCGTCGTAGGGTGGTTCAAGTGGTCGACGAACGGCGTCGTGGCGAACAGACACGTATGGTGTCTTTTGCAAACTGGGGTGAACGAAAACATCAGTCGTTTGAGGTCTAATCGGAGAAGGCCTGACTGAACGCATTGCGTTTGTAAGCCTAGTCACGTAAGATGCCCTGTCGGAGACACGTTTGAAAGTTGAAGGGGAAACAAACTCACCTGGTAGGCGAAGAGTGGCCCTATAGACGAGTTGTGCGGGGGTGCAACCAGCATCAACTTTCAACGAGTTACGAATACCTAGTTGGACCAGAGGCAAAGCCTCGGTCCACTGAGGTATGTTTGCAGCTGAAAGGGATGGAAGGCTGTCGTTCGGAACCGGGTGCAACCTAAAAGTGCCGTTAGAGCGTGAAATAATCCACACTCAAATTGGCGCCCACGGTCGGTTGTGACGAAGATGGACATCCGAAGTTCGCGATCCATCTTTCGACGAAAACACGAGCAACAGTAATATCTTTAATAGGTACTGCTTCCGGCCATCGTGTGAAACGATCAACACAGTGAAAAGGTAGGTACATCCATTAGATTCTGGTAGGGGTCCTACAATATCTATATGGACGTGGTCGAAACGCATGTCTGGGGCTAGAAATGAGCCTAAAGGGCTTTTCGTGTGTCGCGTGACTTTACACTTTTGACAAGCTAAGCACGACTGGGCCCACTCCTTAACGTCTTTGTTCATCCCAGGCCAGCAGAAACGTTGTGCGATAAGCCTAATGGTGGCTCGTACACCTGGATGAGAGAGTTTGTGCAACGTATTGAAGACGTTGCGTCGACAACTCTTCGGAACTATTGGGCGTGGTTGACTAGCAGAGACATCGCACAAAATTGTATCCTTGTCTGATCCAACAGGACAAAGTCGCAGTTTGAGAGTTGTGGACGACAACTCATGATGCAGCTCAAGGTCTTCCTTTTGACGCCGAGCTAGTTCAACGAGATCAATACCCTCGATATAGTTTATCGAAGCTATTCGTGGTAGTGCGTCAGCTGCGGATGTCTGACGTGAACTGGGAAATGTAATCCAGCTGTCGCGACTCACGAGGGGAGTATTTGTCAGACGCCGAGCTGAGGGAAAACGTTAACGGTTTGTGGTCTGTGAAAATAATGAAATCACGACCTTCCACAGAATGTCGAAAATGGCGTACAGAACAGTACATGGCTAGGAGTTCCCTACCAAATGTACTGTATCTTGTTTCCGCGTCTTGCAGCCGCCTCGAGAAAAAGGCTAACGGTTGCCACTGGTTGTCAGTCAACTGTTGCAAAACTGCTCCAATTGCTGAATCAGATGCATCAACAGCAATACTCAGAGGAGCATTGGGGTCATGATGCATAAGCATGGTTGCGTTCGAAATGGCTTCCTTGACTTTAGAGAAAGCAAGTCTAGCCGCGTTGTCCAGAGACACGAACTTCGCAGTTCCTCGAAGTAGATCTGTTAGTGGTCTCATGACAGAGGCACAGTTAGGGATAAACCTTCGGTAATAACTTACCAGGCCATTGAAAGTGCGGAGATGTTTCACAGTGGTCGGCTCTGGATAGTTTGTGATAGCCGCCACTTTATCTCTCAATGGGCGTATACCTTTGTTGTCAATGGTATGCCCAAGGAAGCTGAGTGATTCAACTCCTATTTCACACTTCTGTAAGTTGACTGTGATGCCATGTTTTTTAAGTCTTTCGAATGCGAGGTCCAAATGTTTAAGGTGAGTTTCCTTATCTGGACTCGCAATTAGACAGTCATCGATGTAGACATGAACAAAATTCAAACCACGGAAGACATCATCCATAAAGCGTTGGAATGTTTGTGCTGCATTCCGAAGACCAAATGGCATGCGCAGGAATTCAAACAGGCCAAAAGGAGTAATAATGGCTGTTTTCGCGATATCTTCTGCTGCCATAGGTATCTGGTTGTACGCTTTGACCAAGTCGATTTTGGAGAAAATGTTCATTCCGCATAAGGTTGCGGTCAAGTCGTAAACGTGAGGTATCGGGTAGCAGTCCGGAGTTGTTTTGGCGTTAAGCCTTCGGTAATCACCGGTTGGACGCCAGTCGTTGCTATCCTTTTTGGGAACCATGTGCAATGGCGATGCCCAAGGACTGTTTGACGGTCTGATAATGCCCAGTTCGAGCATGTGGTCGAATTCATTTTTCGCCGTTTGGAGCTTATCGGGGGCTAGACGGAGCGCTTTGGATGCCACAGGTGGACCTGTGGTTGTGACGTGATGCATAACATTGCTGGTTATGCACGGAAGAGTGTGCTTCGGTTGCTGTAACTCTGGATATTTCTCCAGAACTGCCTGGTAGGACGCGTCGCCTGATTGTTTAGTCCTAACGATGGCTAAACTCGGACCTACATAGGTGGTGCCGCCAATAGATAACTTTGTGTTGTTATCTATCAGTCGTCGACGGCGAGCATCTACGAGTAGATCGTAATGGTTTAGCAAATCTATGCCAATGATGGGCATAGAGACGTCAGCAAGGAGGAAGATCCAGTGGATAGGTTTGCGTAAACCTAAGTTGAGGTAGGCATACCGTCTCCCGAATGTCGCGATTGCCTTGCCGTTGGCTGCTTGAAGATTGAAGGATGGGTCGTGATGACGCTCCTTTGTCGTTGCTGGAAGAACGCTAACTTCTGCGCCGGTGTCGACGAGGTAGCGGACTTTCGTTTTAATGTCGGTGACGTAGAGCAAACGGCTTTTTCCGCCGGCTACGGTTGCCGTGAGCACGTGCCGGCGTGACCGTTTCCCGAGTTCGTGTCCTTCTTAAAACGGCATGGTTTACGACATTTTCTGGCTTCATCCCCGTAAGTGTTATGAAACCAGCACCATTCAGGGTTTTCCACCCTGCTAGGTTTAGCTTTAGGGCTACCACGCGACTTGCTGTGACGCACCAAGACGCGTTTCTGTGGCGTGCTACGTGAACTAGGACTTCGAGATCGTAGCAACTGTTTCACAGAGTTGCACAGCTTGGTCACCTCTGAATCCTGGGGCTCTGGTTTGTCGCAGACAGAATATACGTTGGAGGTGGGTCTGCTAGAATCTCCAGTATTTTATCTGCCGAGGCTGCCAGGTCATCGAGTGGGACTGACTGCAGTGTCACCAACACGGTTTGCACCGGTTGTGGTAGTTTCGAGGGGAATAGTTCTCGGAAGGGCCATCGTTGAATGTTCGTGCACCCATTACTTCTCGCATGCGTGCGAGGACTTCAGTAGCTGAGTTGCTGCCTAGCTCGATGTTACGAAGCAATTCGTCTAGACGCTGGCGA